CTCCCGGTTATACTGAATATATTCAACTTAAATAATAAACGTAGCTAACTTCCTTTAGTGACAAAAAAGGTTTTTTCCTCATTAAATATTTATCTAATAAAGCATTTTGAAATTTATTATAAAAAACTTGCAGAAAACGTTTTTTAATTGCCAGTATTTATATTCATTATTTTCTACTTTAGTTATGAATAATATAACATTATCCATAAAAAACTTGCTGTTATTACAAACAGTTAAAAATATTTTTGATTGATGTGTAATAACGCCTTTTGGCATCATACCAGGAACTACACCATTGGAGGTTGGTAGACCAAGGATGTGAAAATTAAATGAACTTATCAAAACTACTTAGTTGTACTTTACTATTTACTAATTTGATATCCAAATCTAAATAATTAGCATATACATTATTATTATTACTTTTTTCTTGTTTCTAAGTTCTTTGTTATATATATATATATATATATATTTGACCAAGTCTAAAATATCCAAAAGAACTTGAAACCGGGTGACATTTATTATTATTGATTAGTTATTATCAGATAGACCCCTAATGACGTCGGATCAATTTGATTGCCTCAGAGCTTTTAACTTTAAACATCGATATATCAGTTATGCTTCAAAAAGTTTTGAATTGTTCTTACTGAACACAATACCGTTCTAACCCCCTCTGATGTCAATTCCTGAGCTAAATTACATCACCGATTCCTTTTTGATGTTACAGCCAATCAGAACTCTTTCTCATAAGTATCCTAAAATACAAGTAATTGTTTTTAAAATATTTTCAATCCTTTATACCAAGGCAAAAACCTGGACCTACACAGCCAAACCCGCCATTGACAATACCCTATTGACATGCGTCGCCATGGTATTGGTTCGAACAACCAATAATTCTGAGAAACATGTGATCAGACTGAGAGGTTGGACAAATCAACGGCAGGTAAGAACTGTTTTTCTTCAGTTTTTATCCCAGATTTATCTAGTTTAAAAGCACATGCTATATACAACGTTTCTCTACAAAATCAACTCACTTAGGATTTTTCGAGAAGAAACACATATAAATATGTTGCACCCATCTAAATTTACAAAAAGTTTACAACGAATTTTGATTTCTATAACATTACAAAATAATTTTGAATACTGTAAATTAACAAAGGCCCCCCCAGCGGCATGTCTGCGGACTTACAGGGCTAGAAACCGGATTTCGATACCCGTGTTGGGCAGGGTACAGATAGCCCATTGTGTAGCTTTGTGCTTAAACTACAAACACACACATTTCACAAAGAATTTTTAATATTAGATGCTTACAAAAACGTTTTACCAGAAGACTCTAAGAAATTTTGAACCATGCTATTTCTTAAAAAAAAGATTTGCTCGTTAATACATAAAGCCTAAACCAAATGAATATGAATATTTGTATATAAGAATATATATATATATATATATATATGTGGACCAGTAACGTAGAGTAACCTTCCATTGTTTGGGTGATACTTTCTTATTATGATATGAATTATAAAAATGGGCCAGTAACCACTGCCGTCTCCCAGGTCAACCCGATCCAAACGCCTTTGATAATCTATGCTGAACTGAAGAAAGGGGAGAACCCAATATTAGATGCTAAAGTAACGGCTTTCGTGCGCTTACTTGGTGAAGAAGACTCTGTAGTGTCAGTGCCTCTTTTAGACAGCGGTAACGGAGGTAAGATAAACAGTCTTTGGATATTGTGTGTAAAATAACACGGTTAGTCTTTAAATATAGGGTCATAGGTTACGTTATAGAAAGTTTATGCTATCTATAGAATAATCAAATGACGTCTATAGAATTCAAATCTTATCTATAGAATATTCGTATACTGTAGTATGCTTAAGTGTTATCTAGAGAATGTTCAAATATTTTTTTACAGAATTCAAATGTTGTATATAGAATATTCGAAAGTTATTTACAGAATTATCAAATGTTGTTTACAGAACGTTCAAATTCTGTCTACATGCAGAATGTTCAACCGTTTACTGTACAACATACACAATGTTTAGTTGTTTATTGTACAACATACACAATGTTTTGTTGTTTATTGTACAACATACACAATGTTTTGTTGTTTACTGTACAACATACACAATGTTTAGTTGTTTATTGTACAGCATACACAATATTTAGTTGTTTATTGTACAACATACACAATGTTTAGTTGTTTATTGTACAGCATACACAATGTTTAATTGTTTATTGTACAACATACACAATATTTAGTTGTTTATTGTACAACATACACAATGTTTAATTGTTTATTGTACAGCATACACAATATTTAGTTGTTTATTGTACAACATACACAATGTTTAGTTGTTTATTGTACAGCATACACAATGTTTAGTTGTTTATTGTACAACATACACAATACTTAGTTGTTTATTGTACAACATACACAACGTTTAATTGTTTACCGTACAACATACCCAATGTTTAGTTGTTTATTGTACAACATACACAATATTTAGTTGTTTATTGTACAACATACACAATGTTTAGTTGTTTATTGTGCAGTACATAAAATGCTTAATCGTTCATTGTACAACATACATAGTTTTCAGCAGTTTTTTTTTATTGTACAACATTTTATTGTCCAACCATTTATTTGTATAACAGATACACTTTTCAGACGTTTATTTCTCTCTTATTTTGATATATTATAGTTATTAATCGTTTAGTGTAATTTTATCCTACTTAGATCCAGACATAAGTCGCGGAGATGGCGTCTACTCGAGATACTATACACAGTTTTCTGGCAGTGGTTGGTACCGACTACACATCACAGCTACTACACATGAAAAAAGAGCTACTGTGGTACTGGGTGGACGAATTGGAGGAATTGCCTCAACTCCGATCGTCTATGGTGAGCTCTGCTATATATGTGTTAACTTACGTTAAGCTAGTCGAATAAAGTTTCTTGTTTACAGAAAAACTAAATTAATGAAGTTAGAAAGTAATTGCATAAAATAACAACTAATGTGGAAGCAACTACTTTCAATTATGTTTAGATCTATGTTCTATTGCAGATCACACTAATCTTATTATAAACCTGGCTAACCTTACTGTAGACCTGAATAACCTTACTGTAAACCTGTTTAGATTTATGTTCTATTGTAGATCACACTAATCTTATTATAAATTTGATTAACATTACTGAAAATCCTGTTTAGATTTATGCTTTATTGTAGACCACACTAATCTTATTATAAACCTGACTAACTTTACTTTAGACCTAACTAACGTTACTATAGACCTAACTAATCTTACTTTAGACGTGAGTAATATTACTGTAGAACTATGTAATTTGAGAAGTAAGAGGATTAGGCACGGCTACTCTAGTGTGTATTGGGCACGGCTGCAATATTCTATGTTATGAAGGTTTGGGACAAATTCTCTGAAAGTGCTCGTGTTGTAAAGTTTCTTACTTTTTTCTTGAATTGAATATTTCAAATTGAAAATTTTAACATATATTTTTTCCCAACGTAATGAATAAATTCTGTTACCATCTGGTATTAATTGGTGTATTTTGTGTATTCTGTATTTTTGGTGATATACACTAAACTTCACTTAGTTTAGACTCAGGTATTACAGTCTGAAGCATTTCTGATATACTTTAATGTGTTTGTAATGTTTTGTTAAAAGTTTATTATTTGGACGATATTTAAAATTGACTGAAATTAATCTTTTCTAACGTTCAATTCACATTTTTCTCTCCTAATCTTGTGACAAACGACACGATAACTTGACAAACAATATCCTACAAAAGAAATCTATTTTTTGGTATTATGTTAGGAAAGAAGAATATTTCTGTTTGTTAGGTAAATCTATAACCATAGTGCCTTTAGAAATATCCAGTGATTCATGGGCAATTTTATTGTGGAAATTTTAATATCTGTTTTAAGCTACAGTACTTTATTATAATATCTGTGTTAATCGAGAGTATTGTTTATAATATGTGTGTAAGTCTAGAGTATTGTTTATAATATGTGTGTAAATATAGAGTATGTTATTATAATATGTTTGTAAATCTAGAGTATGTTATTATAATATGTGTGTAAATCTAGCGTATGTTATTATAATATGTGTGTAAACCTAGAGTATGTTATTATAATATGTGTGTAACTCTAGAGTATGTTATTATAATATGTGTGTAAGTCTAGAGTATTGTTTATAATATGTGTGTAAGTCTAGAGTATGTTATTATAATATGTGTGTAAATCTAGAGTATATTATTATAACATGTGTGTAAATCTAGAGTATTGTTTATAATATTTGTGTAAATATACAGAATGTTATTATAATATGTGTGTATATCTAGAGTATGTTATTATAATATGTGTGTAAATATAGAGTATGTTACTATTATATGGGTGTAAATCTAGAGTATGTTATTATAATATGTGTGTAAATATAGAGTATGTTATTATAATATGTGTGTAAATATAGAGTATGTTATTATAATATGTGTGTAAATATAGAGTATGTTATTATAATATGTGTGTAAAT